CCGGACGCGTATTCCAGAGAGTTTAGCCCCTTGGTCCCCGTCCAGACGCGTTGTCCAATGTGTTGAATGCTCCTACTTAGAGAAATTTTCAATTTCTACCCTTTTTCTTCTCAAGTTGACACACTTTACTCCTAAAAATTCCTAAAGACTCAAAAAGACACTACAAAACTAAAAATAATTTTTTTTTTCCAATAGATGCATGTGCCAACAAATCAGACATGCTCCACCACCCCCTCCCCTCTTCAAAAGCTGAACTTGTCCCCGATGTATGAATAAGCATAACATTAAATATGGGTAAATAAGAACATACCAAATGCGTTTATACTGTACACGTGAATTTGTAATATTTTCAAAAATAAAAGAAACACCATACAATAATATACATTAATATACAAAATTGTTAGAGATAAATCACTCATAATGAGGATCCACCAGTTCGATGGATTCCACTTCAACAATACTGTCCTCAAAGAATGGTTTCAATTGTTGTCCATTTACTTGATTTCTTACTTGATTTGTTATTTGAATAAATCGACATCTGATTCTTGTCTCAAGTTAATATTTGAGTCTTTAATCATTATTGTATGGAATTGAGAGAGAGTACCTAATCCTCTATTATTTTTATTATTGTTTTAATTATTTAAATCAACTTTATTTGCTTAACAATTTCCTAAACAAATCAGTTATTTTTATATTTGTTTTAGTATTTATGTGATTGCTTTCTTGTTACAATTTGTTGAGAGTTCGACCTCGATCTTCCGAGAATGATATTACTTCGCTCAATCTATACTTGAGTTTACAATAATAAAGTTGAAACAGGTCCCTTTTTCAAATTAGACCCATAACCTGAGTTGGGTCTTAGGCCGGGCCCATCAAATTTCTCCTTTAATAATCTACGCCAAATGCAATGGAAGAACAAGTTTTAAGGGTATCAATTATTGATACAATTCCTGTTCAAAAAAAAAAAAAAAGAAATTATTGATACGACTAGATACCTTCCAAAGTTGTCCCCAAAAAGTTGTAGTATTATTGGATACAATAAGAGACTGATCTTGCATCTACATCTACATCAAACAATACACAGAAAATGGGATCTTCGATTCTTTGTAGGATTGAATTTTTTTGATAGTGGAAATATCATCAAGTGTGCGTCAAAATCCGTGGAAATGTCACTAACATGCCCCCGCAAGTGAAGCGTTCCATTGTGAAGGTTGAACTTGCCACGGAGGAGCTGAGAAAGCGGCTTTGTGAGAATGTCGACAATTTGGTCTTTGGAGTAGATGTAGCGCAGGTCAATATTGTGGGCAACAACATTCTTGTAGACAAAGTGGAAGCCTATCTCAATCTATTTCATGTAATTATGAAATATAAGATTTCTGGTGAGATATGTTGCGCCAATGTTATCACACCATAGTATCGGACTATTGAGTTGAGAGTAAATAGTATCATTCTAATTTTGGTTTTCGTATCACGGTTTTTGACACACATTTTATGGTATTTCCACTATCAAAAAAATTCAATCCCGCAAAGGATAGAAAACCCTTTTTTTTTTTTGCGTATTGTCTGATGCGGATGCAAGATCACTCTCTTATTGCGTTCAATAATAATGTTATCACAATATTCTGTTCAACAATGTACCTCTGTGAGCAATTATGTGCATTGTCTAAGACTAAGTGTTGGATCTCAGTATCATCACGAGATAAAAATTTGAGTAAAATTTAACTGTCATAACAATACGAGAGGTTGGGATGTGTGATGGTTACGTATTGAAGTGTACCAACGATACTTTGATATAGATTAGCATCCTCAAATGGGTCTCTTTCATTACGACGGAATTTAGTTGGGAGCACCTCAGTATACAATCGTGTGTAGTAACTGAAAGTCTTATCATACTTAAAATCAACTTCAATTCACCAAATCAAGGTTCATCTCGTGTTATGGACTCATACAAGGATATTAAGTAGACAGTTGATGTATTAGATTCGACCCTGTCTTTTGTAGCATGCATTCTCATCCGTGTCCCAACTGATTCGATAAACTACGTGTCCGGTGTAGGGAGAACTGCCTTTGGTCTTCAAAACTGACTTACTCGTGGAAACCTTCGGACTGCCCAACAACATATACCACTAGTAAACTGGATTTGTGTTGAGGGCCTAATCTACTAAACCAAATAGGCCGAAGGAGAAGTGTCAAAAAGAAATTGGGCTGGACGGGATTCAGTACAAACAAGAGATCTAGATACACTAATCCAGGATAGGACTTGCTTCGGCCTATAACCAAACACCACCCTTCTTCTTCAACAAACCAGACGTCCCACACATAGTAACGTCATCGACGGCGAGGAACAACTCCACCAAAAGAATCACTACACCAATCACGACTATCAATCACAAACCCACAACCGAACACGTCAACCAACAACAATGTTGAAGACGGATCGTAATCAAAGACTCGATCGATCAACTGTGCAGCAACAACACACGGGTAGCGATTCCGCCGGCGATGAACAACGACTAGGGCTAGGAAACTCAACACCTAGCCATCAACAACTCCTCAACAAATAGGTCTCTGTCAACAGAAGAAGAAAAGAGAAAAAAAAAAGGAGGAAAACGAAAAGAAGAGAGAAGAGAGAAAGAAGAGAGGTCCGAGCGAGGTTAATTGGCTTGCTTTGATACCATGTGACAGTAGGAAGAATAGGTTTTAGAGTGAGAGAGCCATAGAGAAGGAGGTGGTGAGAAAGAGTATCAATCGATCACATCTCTCCACTCCAAAAAAAAAAAAAATTAGAAATGGAGCATAGTAGCTTCAATTACTAAACTGTAATTATTTTTCCACTATATTTTCCATTAACCGTAATTTTTATTGTCTATTATAATTGTCATAAACTCATATTTTGCAGTGTGAATATTTGTAAAGCACGTTTATACATTGAACAAGTGATGCTTTTATGAAAAGCACGATAATTGCAGCAGAAATAAAAATTGGCGAATCACGACACTTTGACAAAAAAAAAAAAAAAAAAATCCACAAAGTGCTATATTTTGTCACCGTCACCATTTTCCACCGCGGTGCAAGAGATATGAGCTTCAGTTTGGCTTGTCAAGGTGACCTGAAAACTGAAGGAGCAGCAAGAAACCGTTGACCCACATTGAGAGCAACCTTTACTAACGGGTCATTACCGATCACCGGTAATTCGGGTTGAATTGAGTTATATGCCATTAAAGATTATTGCCACTATACCTTCCAATAAGCTATAATAATGTATAAATTTGAGCCAGGCTTATAAATGTGGGCATAAAGCTGCTTGACAAAGAATGCCCAACAAACATACCATTGCTAATAATGATACCACACTGTAACGTCCTAGTCCCATCATCAAGATATTATCTGCTCCTTCACACCTCACGTTTTCTTGTTTTTATAGTATGTCTGGATGGTTAAGACAAACCAATAACNGGAGGTGGTGAGAAAGAGTATCAATCGATCACATCTCTCCACTCCAAAAAAAAAAAAATTAGAAATGGAGCATAGTGTAGCTTCAATTACTAAACTGTAATTATTTTTCCACTATATTTTCCATTAACCGTTATTTTCCACTATGAGGTGGATTTTTATTTTTATTGCCAATTTTTTTTTTTTTGAGAATGTAAACTAAATACATGTATTTGACATTTCAACTGGATCGGAGCACATTTATCTTGAAATTCCAATTTAATAGGAATTAATTAGCAGTTTATCGTTCTTTTAAAACTTATTTACTATTTTTATCGTTGTTTGAAAAATTTTTACTAAATTACTGCAATTTTTGAAAGCGTATTACAAACCCACGTTATAATCTTTACTAAGCTTGTGTGGAAACACCTTTTTTAATGCAACAAAGCAATTTATTAAAAAACTTATTTTCTAAATACACCTTCAAGAAAAGTGTGTTTTTATTCAAATTTATATCCATTTTTTTGGTGTGCACAATCATTGCGAGTTGTCTTTAAATTCTTTTAAACAACTAAAAAGTGAACACGTAAAGGAAAATGCATCACAAACCACGTCAAATGTTCTTACACCTTTTAACCTTTCTCCCTCTAGGGAACAAGACGAGTTAAAACTTCATGAAACATGTTGTGATCCACAAGGTGCCAACCCTTTAAATTCTGCAACATAAAAGCGTGATTTTAAAATGCACTTTTAAAAACCATGATAGTTTGACAAATAATATTAAAGACAGTAAATAGTAAACACATTTTAAAAACAGGGTAAGTGATAAACAGTTCATCTTACTGGCCCTGAAATTGTACACTCTCAAGTCTCAACAACCACAATCCACCCCTAACAAGTCATCTGGGACTCACCCCATAACCACGAGGGAGACCTTGAAATGGCATCATCCACTCTGCAACTAACTTGCATTTCATAAGTACTGAAAATCACAAATACACAAACTTCAACCTTCAAGTCAGGCCCAGATTTTCATTCATTAGTATGATCAATGTTAAAACTTCAGAAGCAACAATGCAAAAAAAACAACTGACTATAGAATACGACATATGCAAATGCAACATAAGCCTTGACTAGCAATCAATACCCAGTTGTCCATAAGACTAGTCTTAAGAATCAAATAGAAGCTTGAAGCGTTCATCAGACTAGAATCTGAACAGTCAATACATTGATCATGCACCATCTAATTTGCCAAAACTTCCCAACAACTTCTCAATATCCAGGCAGCTAAAGCATATTAAACATAAATTAGAGGTAACATATGGACAAACAGTAATCACACAGCGCTGCAATAGCCCAACGTATCCTTAATCACACCGGCAATCTTGAAAGCAAACGCACATTAAACGATCGAACATTGCTGCTGACTATGGACAAAACAACAGAACAACCTTCACAACTCCATTGCCAAATGATTTGAGCCTTATTTACTCATGCCTCTTCTGATATTATAGACGGAAAAGGGATCGAGGACTGAATAAAAACACAATTTATTCTGATGCGGCTGTTTACTGATTCAATGCAATGGGTTCTTTCCCCGAGGTGGTTTGGACTTCGTCTTCAACTACAGAGACATCAACAGTTTTTGGCTGAGTTTCACTTGACTCGGTGGCTGGAGCTGCCTCCTGCTCTTGGCTATGAGATGCAGCTACATTCATTTCAATGAATGAGTTCGTTTTTTTGTTGGGTGAGGTGGTCTTCTGAGATTTAGCATCATTTTTTGTAATAGATAAGCTGGTTTTTTCAGACGGCAGCTTAGGAAGGGACTTCCGTAGAGGTTTCTTAACACCTACTGAAGAAGGTCCTTTTGCGGGATTGTTTTGGGACACTTTCTCATCCAAACTTAACCGACCTGGTAGACACTTATGGTCACTGTTTTCTTCAGAGTCTCTGGGAGGAGAGCTCTTCTTTCGTCCGAGCTTGGGAGATTTGGCTCTTGTTGGTGGTATCTGTGTCACGGTACCACAGGAAAAGAATGCATTAAAGCCAGAGCAGTTTAGACCAGGCAATAACTAATATATAAAGTGTGTGCAGATGTAAAGAAGCAGAATATGTTCACACTGACCACGAATAGGAATCCTCACCCATATAGCAATTATTATACCATTACCCTTCAAGCTATAACAACAACCGGCTAACCACGACAATTAGCCAGTGTCCAACCTTCTTGACAACTCAACTTTTTCTGACAAACAAAAAGGGAGAAAAGCCAAGCTCTTGCAAAATGTCCAACACTGCAACCCTTCTATATAGCCAAGACAGGAACTAAAACGACTTTTTGAGATTCATTTGTCCCTTCAAACCTAGCCAGGCAAGGCATGATGGTGGTATCCAAAGCATGAAATCACAATCTAGTACGATGTAGCACAAGTTGGTCCAAGGACAAAACTTATTGTTAATGAGAAAAGAAACCCATAGACGCAGACAGTAGATGCCCCACTTTTTTTTTTTTAATCAGAAGTAAATGTCCCACTTGGAATAAGACTTTTGTGAAAGACAAGTTACCAAAAGCCTATAAATTACAAAGCAAAACTAAAGGATACACCGACAAAAAATGTCGGCAGCTCTAATAGGTTCACCACTATGACGATATACAATTTTATGTTCACCCAGAAGTTGACTGAAGAAATCTACTAGATTACTCCCTCAGTAGTCCATCCAGTAAATGAAACAGTAATCTTCCCCAACCTATTTCAAAGAAGTTAACACTGTCAATCAGAATCAACTCAGAAACCCACTACTGTCAGAATTCCAACAGAGGGTTCAACCAGAACCTTGTCTAACAGGTCGACATGACTAATTAGCACAACCTATTGTGGATTATGAATTTCCCCTATATCATCTGGAAACGAAAGAGATTGCGGCATTTCACAGAGAAGCAAAAAAGCCCATGATTAACTTCAAAGGAAATCAGATACCTAATAACGAACACATTGGTTTCACTAAGCTTCAGACCTCTGTGTGTGTGTGTGTGTGTGTGTGTGTGTGGTACACAGACAAGGGGTTTTTTTTTTTTTTTTTTTTTGGGGGGGGTGGGATGGAATCTGAATCCAAAGATACTCAAGGTGAAAGAAACAATCAGCAGAATTTTGGCATGATCTCTTAGTTCATTACAACAATCAAATTCCTTCTATTTGATTACTTCTCTATTTATTTCATTGTTCCTTTTTCCCTTCATTTATTTATTTTCTTTGTGTTGAGGATTTGTTTCCTTCTCCCCAAAACACCTTTCTCAACTATACAAAAATTCACACCAACACTTACCAAAAATTGTAATGGGAACTTTCCACTCCGCAAGCCATTCGGTCACAAAATTTTAATGGGAATTTTCCAATCTGCAACTCTCACTCTGTATTGCTCTTTTTGTTCAGAAGTATTATATTGATGAACTGCCAAAAATGTGATGGCCCACAGCATTTCCTAAGAAAGAATTTCACTACTACATTATAAAAAATATAATGAACATTAAAACCTATGGGAAGCAGCCTGGGATTTTCCACTACCACAAAAACTTCCTAGAAACAAATAGGAAGATGTGCTTGCTTTAAATAATGCTTAGTGATAAGACTCCATCCGGCCTTATCTAGCCAACTCAATTTAAGAATTCATATATTGGCTACATTTTAAAGCAGACACTGGTCCAAAATAACACTTATTCACAAACAGTGTGAGAAGAAAGAGATGAAGGCAAAGAAGAGAAAGACAACCAACCTGGCCATGATTGAGACAACAAGTTTGTATATAGCTAACAAGCAACAATTATCATACAGCTTACAGACAGCAATTATGCAACACAAGCATTAGACCATCCAAAAATGAATCATGATTGAGGGAGGACAGGGCTGAGACAAAACAAGGCTGAAACATTGAGAAATTCACAGAGAGGGAAATAGAGAACCTTGAACCTACTAAGGCACATGATTTAAGCAGGGAATGCCATAAGCATGACAGAAAGATGCAATAGTGTTTTGAATGGAAACAACATAAAGCAATTTTAAATGGGTTCCTCGCTTCTTTTTTTTAAGCTTTCTGCTCCTATGATGATATTATTTGTTTACCAATTATAATTTCCTTTTTCTTCAATATTATCTGTGATAGAGAAAGAGAACACTTCACATTCTTTAGGGTATACAATTAACATGCCAAAGCCCTTACTCCTTAAAATAAACAATACAAGAGGGTGATCAGAAAAGCATGAGTCAAACACCAAATCTCCCTAAACTATGTTTTCAAAAGTAGCCATGCAATACTCATTCAAATTTGAAATCTCACAAACCCCAGGGCAATACTCCCTCAGCAGGAAAAAAATTTTTCAGAACATATAAGGATGCATCTTTTTTCACCGGTCATGGGGTGTTACTAGTTAGATAGAATATGTGGGTAGATAGACAGACACAAGAAATGTTCCCATAACTTCTTCAGTTCTTCTTGATTTCTTATGCTTTCAATGCTGCTTTTAACGGCAGAACTATTGCACATCATAATGACCGTAATGCTGCTTTTCAGGACTATTAAACTCTTCACCACCACCATGATAATTGAATGATAATTGTTGCACGTCCACAACCCAATCATTCAACAAGCACCAAAACCAGTCAATCAAAATATCAATCAGAGCCATGACTATGCTGTCTAGTGCAACCTTGCTACTGGACAAAAAAATCACTAACTCCAAAACAATTATTAATCATCACACCCAAATAGCAGATAAATTATTAAGATATGCCTAAATGAATGAAACTAGGCATAATTGTTCAATGAAAGCTATATTCTTACTTCCCAGATTAATGCCTAGGTTTGAAATAGACAAAGATTAAGGTTTGAAATAATGGTTTCTAATCCGGTTGGATTTATGCCTAGGCTAAGAGATCAACAATGAAAACTCTATACTTCACAGATTAATGTAGAGGCATAGGGAGAAAAATAAATATCTTCATATGGTTTTTATGAAGACTTAAAGAAGGCATATGTTAGAGATATATTATGGAAGGTTATAAAGAAGAACAATGTTATTATTAGGTATATTGAAGTGATTAACGATATGTATGAAGATGCAGTGACTGCAGTGTGAACACGGGTGGGAGAGACTAATGAATTCTCAATTAATGTAGACTAACATCAAGGTTCTGTTTTGAGTCTATAATTTTTTGTGATGACTGTGGATGAATTTACTAAGCACATTCAAGATGAGTTTCCATGGTTCTTGTTATTTTCAGATGATATTGTATTAGTTGATAAAAGTTAAAAAAGAATAAATAATAAACTAGAAATATAACGAAAAACTCTAGAATCAAAAGAACTTAGAATAAGTAGGACAAAAACAAAATATATGGAATGCAACTTTAGTAAAAGAAGGAATCGAAACCAAGAAGTATAAAAAATTAAAGATCATGCTTTAAATATTGGTGATCATGTTACCCATAGAATTAAAGCTGGAAGGACTAAATGAAGCAATGCATCCAATGTATTATGTGATAGCCTCATAACTCTTAAGTCAAAAGAAAAATTCAATAGAATGACATAAGAACCACGATGATTTATAGTATTGAGTGTTGAGCAACTAAGAAATAATCTATAATCTCTAATATAAAACAGCGCAGGCTTCAATAAGCGTATCCGACAGTTTCAAATAGATTTATTCAACGGCCACCAACATTCCTCTCAAACAATTCATATTGTATCGTATCTTCAAACACGAGTTAACCCTAGTGTTTAAAAATTAAGTGCGACAGAAGGAAAATGTTAAAAAAGAAAATGTTAAAATGAATGTATTATATAGAATTAGGAATGATAGAATTAAGAACGAATATATCTATGAAAAAATGGAGGTAGCATATATAGGAGATAAATTAAAAGAGAATCAATTTAGGTAGTATGGACATACCTATAGACGGTCTACTACGACACCAACAAGAACGAGTAATATGATAGCTATTGAGTAAGTGTAGGTGTAAAGGAAGACCAAGANATGATAGCTATTGAGTAAGTGTAGGTGTAAAGGAAGACCAAGACTAATTTAAAATGAAATAGTAAAAAAAAAATGATAAATTATAATTTAATAGAAAACATGACGCTTAATAGAGTATAATGACAAAAGCGCAAAAATGTTAGAACAAAATTTTGTTGAGTTGAGTATAGATATAATAAGTTAATACGTGACTAAAGTAGATTAAATCAAGTTTAAGATAAACACATCACTAGAATTATACAAGAAATAAAGAGTGGATACCACTAAACCAAGAATTCCAAATGTGAATATTTCGTTCTTTAGTTTTTAAAGATTTTTGTGTAAGCTGTAACTAGCTAGGCAAATATTTAGCATGCCAAAGTCAATATATCAAACTTACGGCCAGTTTGGATTGTGTCTTTTTTTTTTTGTCAAACAGTATTACATAGGGAGCGGAACAACGAGGTTTTAATTTGCGACCACAAGACCCAACAGTGAGGACATTGTCCATTAGGCCAACCGCTAACCTCATGTTTGGATTGTGTCTCAAAAACTATTCTTTTTGTTTTCAGAAACAAAAAAAAAAGGCCAAATCCTGTTTAGCTTGACTTATCCACGGAATAATTTTCGAAAAAATCTAAAGAAATTGAGGTGATTTCTAGAAATATTGAGATGATGTTTTCCGTGATTTCATTCCAAGACATTATTCCCAAGAATTGAAAAACCACGGGGAACAAGTATTGTGCACTTAATGCCCCCATATAAAAGCCCAAATATTTTCTATCTCCTCTATATTTTTCATTTCTCCTCCACACAAAAGCCAATCTGGATCACAACTCAATGACTGTATGCAAGAGTGAAGTTCCGTCCCTTGAACTGCAATAGGCTAGCTAGAAGGGTCAAATTACCCTCAAGCAAGCTTCCATCATTCTTGTGAATCATATTCAAAGCCATTCACGACGGTCAAGGCCAAACTACTTGTCTGTCAATCGATCCTTCATCAACAAACCAAATGACCCAGATATTTTGTATATCTCCTCTAGCCACTCCCTGATCCGACTCCCTGCTAATTCAAGTCTAGATTTGAGATATTCTTTCTCTAACTTTGTTAGACCCACAAATATTTAGCCTAAATAACATTGTATCTGTTGAACGTCACAAATTTATGGGTTTTATTTTTAATATTCAATAGATCTGTAATATTTTCAATTTTTTATATTATTCTCCAGATTTAGTATCTGTGAAATGAAGGGGATTTTTGAAATATCGATCCAAAGTGGTACTCTTTTTTTTTTTTTTATCATAACCAAAGTGAAACTGAAAAGTAGGAATTTATTTCTTGCTTTTTGGGATCTTTGTTCCAAAGAAGGAATGGAGAGAAAAACCCTTTTCCTGGACTCATGCTATTGTCCAAGCAAAAAAGAAAAATATTTGTGCTATTAAATCTATCAGCAATCAACCCGTTTTCTCATTCAATTGACATAGTCTTTGATTGTTAAGTGTATAATATGAGTAATGGCCCTCATCCTTGTACAATGTTGATGTATGGGATGCCAACAATAAAATCGGTGGAAGTTTCCTTTCTGTTTTTTTATGGGATGAGTTATATATCAATTTTATTAAGGTTGGTACATTTATATATATTTTTTAAAAAAGAATAGTCAGTCCAAATGACATCTCATTTTCATTATTTTTTTAGTTACTGTCCAAACATATTTCACTATTTTTGTTCCGTAAAACTATTTTTGGAAACCATGTAATCCAACATATTTTCCGATGCAAAAACTATCAATACACTTTTTTTCAAAACTCTACTCGAAAACTGGTTTTTCGATACTATTTTTTCCGGGCCCTTGGGTGCTTCATATCAACTATGGAAGATTTGCACAGTGCAATGTCTTAAAACGATCAAAATACTATGAACAACTCATTTTCAAAGCAGGGATGCATTACATATTCAAGGAACAAACATCATCTATTCTACACAAAACATTTCAAGCAAAAATGCATTCGGATCCCAAAACAAGAAGTTCATAACTTAAAGAACTAATAATACACCGGCAAGAGCACTGGTTTGACATTCATCGTAAGACTCAAAAAGCATTTTTTCCACGTAACCATCATTAAACTATAAAGGCATAATGTTTCATATCAAAAATGAAGACACAAATTTTGGTTTTCTCTAACATGCATAACAGGCACAAGCTTACCTTTTTTAACTCTGCCTTGGGAGGCAGAGGTTCCTGATAGAAGCTGGGCATTGGTGTAGCTCTAAACGTCAAGCTCTTCCTTAACATTTTAATCTCAGCTTCCTGACTTTCCTGTTTCAAAATTGAAAAACAAGTCATTACAGTTCACCACCAGGAAATTTGAAATAGAATAATTTGTGATGCCACCTTGGTTTTGGCTTGCATATTACTCTTCTCCATTTCCTTTGCATTAATCTTTTCCTCAAGTTTGGAATAAAACTGCCCAAAGATAGTAAAAGAAATTCTCTCAAGTTGACAGACAAAGATCATGCTGGAATCAAACAGTCACTCCAGGTAATGCATATGGAAAACTAACCTCTTTTCTTTTCTCAGCTCTTTCGTTGCACTTAAAGCTAAAATTGTAATGTGGAAGAGCACCCACTTTGCGGGATTTAGCATCTCCTGTGGTAGGGCTTCTATGGAGTATTTAAGGATAAACTACCATAAACATATTGCAATGAACTAATCTTATCATTACAAATCTAACAAGGAAACCTGAATCCCACACGCTATTCTGCCACAAACTTTTGAGGAGAGAGAGAGAGAGAGAGAGAGTCGACATAAATAGGATACAAAGAAGATTGCATGCTTCCTTCAGCTTTATTTGAGGAACCCTTTTTCAATGTCTTAAGTTTTGTCTTCTCCCTGTAGTCAGGAAATTACAATTCACACACCATTCTCAAATGCAGTATTGATATGGGAGCTATTAATTATGCACCAGCACAACCATAGAGCTACATGTAATAAGGAGGCAGGTAATGATTCAGGCAAAGCTGGGGACGACTCTTGTGAACCCAAAATCTAGTTTTTCTTCAAATCCCAACTCAATACCCCACCCTGCCTACACCACAACCTCTCATTATCCCTTACCAACCATATCCTGTCTACAATCTTGACAGAGTCCCTTGGAATTAAGAAAATAAAGTGTTAAAAAGACTTACGGAAGGCTGTCAGACTGCACCACATTGCCTGCAGATGATGCAGCATCAGACTTCCCAGTACACTGCTAAAGCCCGACAGAGCATTACAATCATAATTACTAACAGCAAAAATGGTAATCAAGGGCCACAAAAAGTTGAATGGGAGAGTTTACATCAATATTCGACTACACTAGCAACGAAGAAACCAAAAGCAGTAGAAATTTTTACCTCAGATGGATGAGCATTAATTATAGGAGGTGTTGGTTTCGAATTCCTGTCAGCAGCCTGATGGTCATTAAATGACCTACTCTTCGTTCTCATGGCAAAAGGCTGTTTCGCATGTGAATCTGAAGCAGCAGAACCATTGGAAACAGCTGAAGCTGTCTTGACATCTTTTCGCTCTTTGCTCTTCTTGGTCCATGTTGGCGCAGCATGTTTTGGGCTCGAAGGCTTCCCATTCTTCTCCTTGCCTGTACCCTTTTGCGATTTAACATGCTTTGAATCCTCTCTTTCTTTCAATTCGAGTTCCTACAGGTAAGATGCACATATGAGTGGCTTCCAGATCAAACTAAAGTCAACTTATTGACCTAAAAAGTCACTTACAAAATGTCTACCTTAGAAATGGTCACACCATTGCTTTCTGCAGGCACTATTGATTCCCCAGTGACTCCTTGAGCAGAAAAGTCAATGGCTCCATCTTCATTCAAATTCACAACACTTTCAAAATTCACATCCAACCCTTCAACCTCTACAACACCATTGGGGGTCCCATTTATTTTCTCCAAGGCAACACCTCCCTCCCCAGAGACAGTAAGTTGTTTGTAAACTCCATTTTCATGGCCAAAAACCACTAAATTATTGTCGGTATCCATTCTACACTGTAAATCACAAAAACACAAGCATAAAGTTGCAAGCTTACTACAAAAGTAGGAAAATGCTCATAAAATGCCTTCATCCTATGGCCTGATCAAGGAACTTTTTTCGCTTCATCTCATTATCCTGTAGTAACAAGTGAAGGGTCGCTATAGACCATGTGATTCACTCGCTCTTCAACAATATCAGACGAGAAAAAAAAATCAAAATTTAAGGAAATATTGACACAAATACGATTAGATAGGTATATAAAAGTGCATTGAAATGATTTTCAATAGTAATTATATATCACCAAAAAATCCACTCTCCCAAAAAACCTACAACCATTCAGTTCAATGGAGACCAAAAAACGTCATTTTCCAAAAGAAAAAATTCAGAAAAAACAAAACATGTAACACAATCCCAAAATCTACCCATTTTCATCAACTTTCTCAGCAACCAAGCAAAGCCTTCCGAAGTAAAAACACCAACAGTAGCAGATACAGTAGTAGCTACGGCATCAAACTAACAAAAACATTTCACATATAATCCTAAAACCAACTCAATGGAAAACCAAATCTGAGCATTACCCGCAAAAAGACAAAATCAAGCCGACTATCACTTCCCTAGATCTTCAGACCCACCAAAAAGATCCACACTTCCGATTCCATTATTCACCTCAGAATCACTCTTCACATTATCACACAAAGGCATTGCCCAACACTCAATGGATCGCTTAACATCTCTATATATACAGCATATATATGTGTGGTGTATGCGTGTGTCCGTGTGAGTAGATGCTTTTCGCTTACCCATAAAAGCTTACAATGATCAAAAGGTCATTGAAGCGAAGAGGCTCTGCGAAGAGCTTTGACGTATCTGAGAGATTCTTGAGAGAATATGAAGTGGAGAAATAAGAGAGACAGAGGGACAGAGATCGAAACCCTTGTGCTGTAACTCCGATTCGGAACAAAAACTGAATCGAAGAAATTAAATTTGAAATGGCAAGTCTCTCAAAGCAGTTTTTTTTTCCCTGCGATTTTGAAATCCATTCCAGGTCACACTCACACTCTATTGTTTTGAGAGAGAGACAGAGAGCAGTGTAGTATACGGTAAGAGACAGAGAAAGAAAGAGAAATACAACGGATATACGGTTTTAGAGAGAGAAAGAGATATGGTTAGGAAGGAAGAGAAGGGCCTCTGATCAAGCCACGTCAGCAAATGTGAGGGGTGAGAGTGATGTGGCAAGATCATGAGTGCCAAAAAGGTTTCAACTGCTGTATTAGTGGGTTTCCGAAGTTATGCCTTTGTCCTTATCTACACAAGTCATTTTGGGATGGCTAATTATATACAAAAAAAAAAAACTTTTATTTCGTCTACTTTTACACAGGTAAAATGAAAAAAATACCCCACCCCTTTCAAAATATATTCGGAAATAAGTGCCTATAAGAAAATTATATTTATATAATAAAATAACTTACAATTTAAATTTTTAAAAATAAATAAAATGACTTTTGTTATTCGCGGTTAAGATCGCTTTAAATTTTACTTTAAAGTTATTCTAACGGCTAATATTAACATCATATATTTAATATAAAAAATAAGTCTGTAATGGTGTGTTTGGAGTGATTTTTTAAAAATATTTTTAAAAATTATTTTTCATAAATACTTATAAAAAAACAGCAGTGTTTGAAACCGTCTCACCACTACCTTTACCATCACCACTCCCACCACCACCACCGCCACCACAACCCCCACCACCATCGCAACCGTCGTCGCAACCCTCACCCCCACCACCACCGCCCTCACCCCCGCACCACCGCCTCTGTCGCCACCACCACCGTCGTCATCACCACCACCACCACTACCATGGTCATTGCCGCCCACCACCACCATCACCGTCTCCTACCACCACCTCTCACGACCACTACAAAACTGATACTTAAATTATTTTATCTCTTCTTTATGTTTGTGATTTGATTTGGGATATGAATACAAATATATTTATCTAAGGGTGTATTTAGAGTGACTTTTTAAAAGTACTTTTAAAAATTATTTCTAATGCATACTTTAAAAAAATAATGTTTAAAACTGTTCCACCACTACCTCTACCGGCACCACCACCGCCATCACCACTGCCACCGCCACCATCACCACAATCACCATCACTGCCACCATCACCACTGTCGTCGTCGCTACCACCGCCACCATCACCACCACCACCACTGCCACTACTGTCGCCACCGCCGCTACCCCAACTGTCGTCGTCGCCACCACCATCACCATCACCAACACTGCCACCAGCCTCATCACCATTGCCACACCCATCATCACCACCGCCGCCACCACTGTTGTCGCCACCACCACCATCACCATCACCGCCACTGTCGCCCTAGCCACCACCACGGTCATTGTCACTCATCATAATTATCACCGCCTCCTACTACCACTACTGTCGTGCACCACCTTTCACCCCCACTACAAAACGATGATTAAATTTTTTTTATCTCTTCTCTATGTTTGTGATTTGATTTTGGATATAAATACAAAATGTTTATTGTTTATCATTTTTTATTACTATGTGCCTTCAGCTACAGGCAATAACTAGTCTATATAATAAAATAACTTACAATTCAAATCTAAAAAGATAAACAAAATAACTTTTACTATTCGCGGTTGCGATCACTTTAAATTTTATTTTAAAGTTAATCTAACGGCTAATATTTACAGCTTAAATTTAATAGGAAAAATAGGCTCATAAGAATGTGTTTAGAGTGACTTTTTAAAAATATTTAAAAAAAAAATATAGTACTTGAAACTGTTCCACCACCTCTGCCGCCGCCGCCACCACCTCTCACCCTCACTATAAACCGATACTTAAATTTATTTACCTCTTCTTTATATTTTTGATTTGATTTTGGATATAAATACAAATATGTTTATTATTTACTATTTTTTATTACTTTGTGTCTTTAGGTACTGGCAATAACTAGTTTATAGAATAAAGTATAATAAAATTTAATTTTTAAAAGATAAACAAAATGACTTTTGCTATTCGCGGTTGAGATCTCTTTCAATTTTACTTTTAAGTTAATCTAACGGCTAATATTAGCACTCCAAATTTAATAGGAAAAATAGGTCACTAAGAGTGTGTTTGAGGTGACTTTTTAAAAGTATTTTTAATACTTATAATTTCTTAAAAATACTTTAAAAAAAAATAGTGTTTAGAATTATTTCACCACTACCACTACCACCATCACCCCCATCGCCCCCACCACAATCACCATTACCACCACCACCACCTTACCACCATTACCATTACCACTACCACCGCCGCCCCCACCCCACCCCACCAAACTACCCCCCCACCATCAT